TGCTATGGCTTTTTTGAGTTGCAATGGTGGAAAATTTGGGACGGTTTTTTATTGTGTTTTGGGAATCTGGTTTCAAATTTTCTTCCTGTTTCTCCGATGTAGAATTCTGGGCAGTTATTGCATGTTATTTTGTAAATGACGTCGGTATTGTGTGATTCTAAATAATTTTTGTTTAGTAACGATTTTAATTTAGGGCCGGGTTTTTGAGAGAATTTGACGTTGACAGGAATATTGTGTTTAATGGCTAGTTTTGTCCAAGTGTGGATAATTCTTGAGCTAGTTTCAGGAACAAAATGTAAACTGCAGTGTAATGTTCTGTTGTTGGGTTTGTTAGTATCAATTTTGTTCGTGAGTTGAGTTCTGTTGTGGCGAATGTTGGAGAGTTTTTCAACTATAGCTGGTGGAAATTTATTGGTGTGAATAAAGGAATGCTTTATGTGGTTGATTTCTTCATTTATGTAATTCGTTGAACAGAGTCTTTTGGCTGTGTTTATGAGGTTTTTAAGTGTATTGATTTTTTTGTGTGATGTCATGAGCGGAATTCCAGGAGATGTAGAGACCAGTGTTTGTGTTCTTACGGTGAATTTTGGTTTTAAACTACACACACTAAATTTCTTTGAACACATAAATTCCATCCATCCCAACATCAAGTTTACCATGGAACACGAAAACAATAAACAGTTATCTTTTCTTAACCTCAAAATTATTAGATCGAACACTCAGTTTAAAACTGAGGAATAATCTGAGGGGAATAATCGGAGATCTGGATTGGGAAGAGACAAATACACCGTAATACATTTGGGCCACCAATTCAAAAACATCTGGCTAATATCGAATCAAATTAATATCAGTTATATATGTGTTGTGTGCTAATTATATTTAACTTAATATCTTACCAGACCCCCTCAGAGAGGCCCAGGCCATTTAAATCTTTTAAGGCCCCTGGTCAAACTAATAATAAAAAAATGACGACACATGAAAACAAAATAAGACCATCATTAGCTCGGAAAAAGAGTGGAAAAAAATTTGAAGGGGGGGCACTGAGACCATCTTGTCTTCAAAAAATTGTGGATATTTGTTAATAAATGATTCGAACATTCCGGATTTGGATGAAAATTGCTTTTATTGAATTTTATGGTCGTTTCCTTCTGAGAGCTCAAACTTATTTTTTATACCGCAAAGTTGTAGTCCAGGAAAACTAACAAGCATTAATTGTTCTAAGAGTGGAAAGTTTGCGTCTGGCACGATGTACATTTTAGTCATGTTGTAAAGGTCTAAAATTCACTAACTGTCTCGTGACTCTCTTAGTGAAACTTCTGGCAAGGTATTTATTCACTGAGTAAGTCATGAGAGTACAAACTCATATGATCATAAATTTACATAATCTTCTACTACATTAATGGTATCTGTACGTCACCGCTAGGGAAGCTGGTGTCATTTTCATCATACATACGCGTTTCCTCAAAATACAAATGATTAGCTGGAAGGTGAGTTAGAGTTTTAGTGCAACTAAACGATAGAAGGAAATAATAGAAGAACGATAAACACAACCATAGTCATAAAAAAATACAATTTACTATCTCACAATGTCTTCTTCAAAGTAAGAAAGATCTGATCAAATGTATCCTGTCAATTGCTGAGACGATCTTATCTTCAGGAAATTGTGGATGTTTGTTAATAATTGACTGGACCATTTCGGACTTTGATGAAAATTGTTTGTAATTAATTTTATGGTTGTCTCCTTCTGAGAGCTCAAACTTATTTTTTATACCGCAAAGTTGGAGTCCAGGAAAACTCAAAAACATTAAATTTTCTAAGAGTGGAGAGTTGACTCCTGGCACGGTGTATACTTTAGTCATGTCTTCTTCAAAGTAAGAAAAATCTCGAGGTTCAGGATCTGTAGTAAAATAGTGAGCCCAACCTTCTGATTCGCGCAGATTCTTAGGGTAATGAGGTTCTAAAGTTTTGTGAACTCGTATTATTAAATTTCCTTCGCGAACAAATTTAAATGTGAGAAATGACATGCTATAAACCGGTGATTCTTCCTTGAAATCTAATGGGATAGCTTTGAACAATGGGAAGCCGTTGAAATCCACCAGATGTTTAGCGCCATCTGACGATAAGTTTCGAACAATTGTAGTAATATGATTGTTTGGGAAACCGAATGCCGATGCAGCATGATATACGTCAAAACCCAAAGCTTGAAGCAAATATTTCACAAAGACATTGAGAATGTAACACGTTCCTCCTTGTTTAATCATCATGGCTTCTTTAATTTCAGTCCATGTTGGTATGTGACGATGTTCCGGTTTCAGTGAGAGTAAATTTATATTTTGATAACG